GTACTTCTGTTGCATATTTTCTATTTTGGGATTCTGGCCTGCTTCATTGTAGTGTTAGTTTCTGAATCACAGTAGCTAAACTATTGAGTGTACATGTATTGACTCTTGTGATTTTGGAAGACAGCAAATAAAGTACCTGCTTTGCATGGAGAACCTGAAAGACAGGGTGTTTCCTATTATTGTTTTGGTATTAGCCTTTTTAATACAACATCGTGGTCCACCAGAAGAACAACCCTGAGCCAATGAGCCTCAGCTAACCCTAACTCAAATAAAGCTACCACATAATGTCTCTCCCTATGCAGAGTTAACACCGAGTCTTAGTGGGCTCATTTGTTCAAATGAAGGGATGTGGCCTCATGATTATTAAAGCCGTTTTTAGCACTTATGGACTACCTGTCTCAGCTTTCCTGGTTCATATGTCTTGAGCACCTCTTAGAAGCATTGCAAGCTTTAATTTTATTCCACCTATAGACATTGCTTTGTTCACCTTTGGTTATATTTTTAGAACAGGATTTAATATTTGGAGGGGAGATATAATTCTTTCAGAGGAATATTTTTGTTTGTTTTTCTGTAAACTGAGTTAATGTGATACAATTAGATGCTTCCTTTATGGCTATATAGGTAAAATCATATGAGAGTAAATGTAGCCTTTTAAAGTAAATGTGATTAAGACATGCATATGCGTATTCAACAGTTACAGTGGCAAGCATGGGATGGGAATGGTGACTTGCTTTGCTCTCCACCTACCCCTTGTCTGCACCCAGACAGCTGTCCAGGCTGGAGGAAAATGGAAAATAATGCTGATAGGTCTCACTTTAAATTCATGATCACCAACTACAAAGGGGCCCGTAGTGCTGTCCAGCATTCCTTCCATGCTACCTATTGTCTTGCTTTTTTATATGAATATTTTGCACTTTCTCCTCTCCTCTCAACCATTAATAGCTCCTTTGCTTTCTCCCCCATCCCAATGCTGATGAGAGAATAAAAATCAACCAGAAGGGAATGTCTAACCTTTCTTCCTACCTGGTCTACTAATGTACCTATATCTGTACCCAGGTACTCTGCTGGACTTCAGTTATTAATATACCCTGTTATTATCTGAGGCCAATCCTCACTTATTGAATTCATATCCCGCCTTGCCTACTTATGGCCATCTCGAGCAGTCGTCCCTTCTCTCTTCTGCATTGTTAATGATTCCTCTTCCTTCTTTATTACCAGATCATTCCTATCTGCATACTCACATGTTGAAATAGCTCCCATCTTTAAAAGGAAAAAAAAAACTTCCTGGAGACCCCATAGTTCCCTAAAAATATTGCCCCATTTCTCCTTTCCTCTTGGCAGCAGAACTCTTCAAGAGTTGTCTACTCTAGCTTTCTTTCCATTCTTTCTTGAAATTTCTCCATTAAGACTTTCAGCCCCACCTCTCTGCCAAAACAGCTCTGATCAAGGTCACCCATGATCTTTCCAAAGGCAAATCACTGATCAGTTCTAACTTGCTGTGATAGCAGTACTTGACATGGTCACACTTTCTTACACTTTCTTTCCTTGGATTCCGAGACCCCACACTTTCTGCTTTTTTTCTGATTTCAGTGGCAGGTTGCTCCCTCATTTCCTAGACCTTACATTGCCCGAGAGCTGGTTCTTAACCTTCCCGTCTGTGCTCACCTCCTGTATCAAACTAGTGTATTCCCTCTTGTGGTGTAAAATGTCTATTTGCTGAAGACTAGGGAATTTCTATTTCTAGCTTGGATCTCTCCCCTAAGCCACACACTCTCATGTCTAGTGGTCTCCTTGATTTCTCCCCATGGATGTCAGAAGGTCCAAGGCCAGTTTCTTTATTTCCAGTGCCCCAAACTGGTTCCTTCTGTAGTTTACCTTATCTGTAATTGCTCTTATCAAAAACTGAAGTAATTTCTGATTCCTCTCTAGAGACCTGCTGCTTGCCGTACCTTCAAAATATATCCAGAATATTAACATTTTTCACCATCTTCATAGCTACCCCTCCATACCACTACCATCTCCTGCATGGATTATTGCCATCGCCTTCTTGTTGGTCTCCTTTCCTGTCTTTATTTCCTTTTTCCATTTTCCCTCTCATTATTCTGCCACACTGGCCTGCCTGCCTCTCCTTGAAGGAGCTAAGGACTCCACACACTTCAAAGCCTTTGTGCTTGCTGCTTCCTCTGCCCAGAATGTTCTGCTACGAAACATTCACAGGGGTCTCCTACTCCATTCAAATGTTCAAATATCACCTTGTCAGAGAGCTTTTTCCCTGAAAATCCTATTTGATATAGCACCTTCCTCTTGCCTGCATTCTCTCCAAACATAATTATTTGTATATTATTAACTTCCCTGCCTTCTTTGAGGGCAGGGACTTTGTTCTGTCACAACTATATCTTTAAGACCCAGAACCAAGCCTGGAACATTTTGGTGTTAAATGAACGGAGGAAGGTAGTGGTGATGGTGATGGTGGTGGTGGTGGTGGAGATTCGTGGTATGATTCTGTTAGGTATTTAAGCCCCAAATTAGTTTTTAAAGAATTCACACACAACTTTTTCAAACACTATATAAAACAAGGTAGGTCTGTATACACACAAACTTTAACCAGTCTTACACACAGTCTTACCCACAATCCGTTTCAACCTGTATTTGATGATGAGGCTGACTAGCCAATATTTAAGTAATCACTATGCAGTAGACCTTGTGCTAAGATTATCCAGTTTAACTCCATTATCCAGTTTAACTCCCACAATACTCCTTTCAGTGTATGTTATACCATTTTATGAAAAAGGAAATGAGGCTTAGTGAGCATACGATGAGGCCAGCTGAAGATAGGAAGTGGCAGCCCTGGGATTGGATCTCAGTGTGTTTAGCTTCAGAATTTCTTAAGAATGATGGGACTGGCTGGGCACCATGGCTCACGCCTGTAATCCCAACACTTTGGGAGTTCGAGGCCGGTGGATCATCTGGGGTCAGGAGCTCGAGACCAGCCTGGCCAACATGGTGAAAGCCCATCTGTACTAAAAATACAAAAATTAACCAGGCGTGGTGGTACACACATGTAGTCCCAGCTATTTGGGAGGCTGAG